AATGGCCACTTGGAAGTGGTGCGGGTGTTGCTCGAGGCAGGAGCTGACCAGAACACAACAGATCAAGATGGGACAACCGCCTTGATGGTTGCAGCTCTGACTGGCCACTTGGAAGTGGTGCGGTTGTTGCTCGAGGCTGGCGCTGACCAGAACACGGCAAATCGAGACCGTCAAGACGGGGCAACCGCCTTGATCCTTGCAGCTCAGAATGGCCACTTGGAAGTGGTGCGGGTGTTGCTCGAGGCTGGAGCTGACCAGAATGCAGCAACTCAAGACGGGACAACCGCCTTGATGGTTGCAGCTCTGGATGGCCACTTGGAAGTGGTGCGGTTGTTGCTCGAGGCTGGAGCTGACCAGAACACAGCAAATCGAGGCCGTCAAGACGGAGCAACCGCCTTGATCCTTGCAGCTCAGAATGGCCACTTGGAAGTGGTGCGGGCGTTGTTCGAGGCTGGAGCTGACCCGAAGGCAGCAACTCAAGGGGGGGCAACCGCCTTGATGGTTGCAGCTCAGAATGGCCACTTGGAAGTGGCGTGGGTGTTGCTCGAGGCTGGAGCTGACCAGAATGCAGCAACTCAAGCCGGGACAACCGCCTTGATGGCAGCAGCTGACAATGGCCACTTGGAAGTGGTGCGGGTGTTGCTCGAGGCTGGAGCTGACCAGAACACAACAGATCAAGATGGGACAACCGCCTTGATGGTTGCAGCTCTGAATGGCCACTTGGAAGTGGTGCGGTTGTTGCTCGAGGCTGGAGCTGACCAGAACACAGCAAATCGAGACCGTCAAGACGGGGCAACCGCCTTGATCCTTTCAGCTCAGAATGGCCACTTGGAAGTGGTGCGGGTGTTGCTTGAGGCTAGAGCTGACCCGAAGGCAGCAGCTCAGGGGGGGGCAACCGCCTTGATCGTTTCAGCTCAGAATGGCCACTTAGAAGTGGTGCGGGTGTTGCTCGAGGCTGGAGCTGACCAGAACGCAGCAATGCAAGATGGGACTACCGCCTTGATCGTTTCAGCTCAGAATGGCCACCCGGCAGTGCAGCAGCTGTTGCTCGCTGGAGATCGCACCTTCCGCACGGGGAGACTCCGCAGTGAGACTCCTCCAGATCCGGGTCGTGATCGACCGGACCGCTCGCGATCGCGATAGACCAAAGGACTCCTGCGCCCGCCGGTCGTGACGGTCGTGTGTGTGCGTGTGTGTGTGTGTGTGTGTGTGTGTGTGTGTCAGAGATGTACTGGGAGACTGGCTTCACTGGGATTGATCATATCCAAAGACAACGAATTGTATTTAATTGCACAAAACACAGCATAAAACGATTGGACGGAGAAACATGTCAGAGCACATATGCATTCACCACGACAGATCCAGTAGTGGTTCTTTTTATGTTTTTCGGCTTCGGCTGACTTTCACCTATCGCCGGTTGGAGCCGTGTTTCGTTTTGTGCCTCGAATTGTTTAGAGTTTATAGAGGCACACATACTCCGAGCTGGTTTGGCAGGTCTGTGCTCCAGCACCGTGCTGGCAGAGTCAGATCTGTTGGGAACGCTATAGTTTCGGCGCCCGACGACTCGACCGATCTCTGAGAGACCGACGAGGTGCAGGGTGTCGGCTGACAGACTGACCGACGCCTTGGCAGATGGTGACCGGTTGGAGGGCACTTTGGGTCCTGTGATTTTGTGTACCCATAGCCTTCCATGATCATTAAACAAATGATTGAGTTGCCTTTTTGTAGTCTAAACTCCGCTGTAAAACAATCTTTTTTTCCAGGAAACACCATTGAAATAATGATGGTTCTGCAGAAGCCCAGGGTGTGAAAGTTGATCTGGCAAGTTCAAGGTTCAAGGTTCTTTCGAGAGCTGATTCTTGCTGCTGAAGAAGCTGGGTAGAGACGGTAGAGAACAGTGCATTGCCTTGTTGAATGTGGATTCGATACCATGGGCAGTGCAATAGGTCTCCAGCAACCCGGCGCCGAGATGCCTTTGCCAAAGTTCCCTGGAGATGAAAGACTGAGTTGCTCCTTCACCTAGTTCCACATCCGAACTGATTGGTGATCCTTCCGCCATAAAGATCAGGGGCATTGCTTGTTGAGGTTCCAGTCTCCCCGCACATCGCTTCGAAAAGATAACCAACCACCGGAGCCGACTGATACATTGACATGAATCCTCTACAGAGCACAAATCAGAAAGGTATAGTGGTTTGGCAGAAACTGGAGAACAAAGCCCATTCCAGCAGAAGCCGGGCAGAAGGCGTGAATCTCGGGAAGCACCCTCACCACGCGCCGGCAAACCTCGCAACAGAGCGCAGAATCCAAAGAGGTGCCAAAAGAAGCAGAGGATGTTGCACCGTGGCGTTTGTGGCGTTTCTTCCTTTCGGTTCTTCGGGGCCACACTGAGGCCAGAGGATACCATCATGCGCTGTAAGATGTTGAACTCTGCCACTGAGCTGACTAGTCTGTGTGTTGAGGGTGGCTGGAAAAGGCTGGGAACGGTTGGTGTTGAGGGTAGGTGTTGAGGTCAGATGTTCGTTGGCTGCGATGTGGATCCACTAGGTGGACCTCTAGGTTTGTCGGGGGCTGTATGGATCCTACTGCCACCTCAGCTTCGTATGACTGGGCCCTCCAAAGCTACAGCAGAAATGGTCTCCCATCACCGTACCTCAGGTTCAGAGGCAGTGGATCCATAGGGATGAGTTTTCAAAGAGCTAAACCGCCGATGGCAGTAAAGCTTGCTGACGTCGTCGGATGTCCAAGGTTTTTCATCCTGAAAACGGTATCGTGAGTTCTTGGAACGACTAGCCAGGCCAGGAACGATGTGAGTGCTAGCTAGGATGGTGGAGGTACTTTTCACCGTGAAACTGTGGTGGTTCTCCTCTCCTCTTCGTTGCTCTCCTATGTTGTCCCAGGCATCTGGGCATCGGGCTCGAAAGCGTATGGCCATTGTTGCCCAAAGACTTTGAGGGTGTGTCATATGACCAGTAACCATGGGTACCGGGTAAAGGATGATCATGGATTATCAATGATGATCACTATATAATCTATATATATATATAGTATATAGTCTAATAATGGAGTTATCCCGGCATTCCTTGGTCAGCCTGCGAGTCGGTGCGTCCCTGCGTGTCCAGAAAAGATGGAAGAGAGGTTCTTTTGCAGGGGTGCGTTGCTCCAGACATGCGCAAGCATGACAGTTATAATGATTCTGATAGGCTTATATAGGTGTTAGATTGTCGACAGGGACCCTAGAGTCGGCTAGAGGGACCGGACGGAGCGGGAGAAGCAAGGACGTTGGGGGCGTCCTTCGAGGAGATCGTCGGACTCAGTTTTTCCAATCACGGGAGTCGTCCGCGGTGGGCTTCAGCGGGGTCGGAGGACGTTGGGAACTCGATCCGCTTTCCATGGAGTGAAGCAAGAAGTGGAGTGAAGCAGTTTCCATCGCGCTTGGGCTAGCTACCGTCGTTTCCTCAAAACCCAGTGGGTCCGGGTCTGGGAATCTGAGGCGGGCGAGTGCTACATGGTCCATGGCGACTTCTGTAGCACCTGGGAGGCGAGTCCGCAGTCGACCCTTTGGATGCACCGCCCCTTTTGTCTTATTTTGAGTAAGTGCATCCCTACTAGCTAGCTAGAAGCTAACTAGTAGCTTTTTCACTTACTACTAGTAGTCCTGCCGTAGCTTCCTATGGGATCCAAAGGGTTTTACCCATCTCCACTCGATCAGAGAAATCGCCTGGTTGGCGGGCTGAGGCCTCCCAGTACTCCTATGATAAGGCCATCGCATTGCAGGAAGAGTCCTATGGTCTATATCTGCAGGTGCCGCGCCTGTTCTGCGCCGAACGAGGAAACCTGGTGGAACATGAAGTGCTTTCGGAAGCGCTGGGTTTCACCAAATCCTGGTGGTTTCACCGCAATGGATGTCCATGGTCCATGGTTCTGTCATGGAGCGGGCCACTCACACTGTTAACGTCAACTGCTTCAGGCGTATTAAGATGCCGGCTCAATGCACCAAGACGTCTCCTCAAACGATGCTGGAACCTTGCTGGATCAAGAAACGGCAAGAGGAAGAAAACATGCTATGATTGTTCTATTCAGCTCCAGCTTTTCACCTGGGTGCACAGGGTGACTTGACATACCATACCTATAGAACTGCTATGAACTGCTTGGACCTGGCTCTATGAACATGTTTGGTGTCGCCTGCGAAAGAAAACAACTCCAACAAGCGCCATAAAATGGTGGGCGAAAGAAAGATGCCGAACCGACCACTGATTAGACCAAGCCGAACCAACGTGGGCCAACAGAAGAAGGCGGAATCAAAGGCGAATGGACCTTCTAACAATTTCTTCGTTGCTTTGCAGAACACTCTTGGCCCAGGTTTTGTAATTGGAAGACTAGCAACATAGACAATCATGCCTGACTAGTCACTGATTGTTTGGTGCTTTGTTTTGCCCAGGTGCTGGGTCCCAAGAAGCCGTTGACGGGTTGGGCGATGGAGGATTTGGCCCAAGCATATCAGAGGTGCGCGGGTGCCCAGCGAACGTGTTTCCGGACGGGTGAGAGAGGTGGCCGCTCAGTTGGCGCCGTTGCCGTAGGTTGCCCGGTTTGGGTTGGGAGATGCAGGTCGAAGATCATGGATGTTGAGAGTAACATGGATGTTTGGACCATGAAGATGTGATGGGCTGATGCAACGTGGTGAATGCATCTCCCCTTGCAGGGTGTCGGCTTTTGAAGTGTTTGCCAACCTGCGCTCAGTATAGCCCTCCAAAAAGGTAGCCTGACAACTTGGTCTACGTTTCACCCAGAGCAAGAGAGGTCTTCAGTGGCCGGGCCCGTCACCGTGCCCGTCACCTGACCCAGAACACCTGGGGTACCCAACTGGGATCGTCGAACAGTTCGGCCCAAAGGCGATTCGAGAACGAGTGAAGCGGAAGGAACTCACACAACGAGCAGGGTCTTCCCCGGATCAAACCACGTGTGGGAACCCCCACCTGAAAGAAGGTGAAAAAAGACAGAGTTTGAGGCCGGTTTTCTCATACACCACGTTTGATCGCAAAAAGGTCCCATGTTGTAAGACACGGCGTTTGTAGGTGTTTGAATCTGTTGGTTTTCACGTCCGAGTGGAATTATACACAACTCTGTTACCGTAAAGAGGAGGAGGCTTGTAGTAATCAAAGAACTATTGACCATCCGCATGGTGACAATGCCTCAATTTGGGCATTTAGACACGGGTGATTTTTGGCTGTTTACTTTCAGCTTCAGTAAAAGCATGTAATAGCCTTCTACTCGAGGCAGTGGTTTGTCCGGGTTTGTCATTGTCTACGCATGCTGTTGGTTGGTTGTTGTGCCCTTCCAAAGCCACAATTAGCCTGCTGGACGCCTCAAAATGTCTATCCACCAAGGAGTTTATGATCACCCTATATAAGATTACAGGTTGTTGCCTCATCCACTTGGAAGAGGAGAATGGCCTGCCCCCTCAATTGAACTGTTTGTTTGAAGTGCCCTTCAATTTCCGAATTCCAATCTGGGTGAGTCGTGAGTTGTGAATGCATGAAGTTTTGCACATAGCATGCAGCATGCCTCCATGTGTCGGTCCCAGCTTGACTTCGCTGTTCCGCAGATTTGTGGATCGCTTAGACCCGTCCCGTTGCAGTCCAGCTTCCCGTGCGCAGCGCTGCGGCGTCAGCTTCGAAAAATGGAGGCCACATGGGCGTTGATTGTGATGCTCCTCTTGATGTTGGGACTCTTCCTCATCGTGGCCTTCTTCGCCATCGGCATGCGCGATCGGCGCATCGTCCTGGATGGCGGTGAGCGTTTGCGGACGCGTGAGTCTTCGTCTGTGAAGATGGAGAAGGCGCAGAAGGAGGGCGCCTTACGAGTTGAAGAGGTGTCCGAGATGAAAATCGTGGAAGAGGGGATGCTGGGCCGCAGACCTGTCACTTCTTTTTTGTCTAAGTTCATCCAGTTCATGTACCTGCCATGAAGCAGGGTTGAGCGTTGTCCTTCGGAATCAAATCGTATCAGCGGGACATAGTGGGGCAGGTTGCTGTGTGATGAGGTTTGCCATGTTCTGCCCATCCCAGACATGTCCTGGCTTCGAAAGAGAACGGAAAACCATTGGAATCCATTTGGAACACCGTGGATGACTTCCCCAACCGGCCCTCTGGTGTCGGACGCAGCGGTACGACCGGTTCCAGGAAGACCTGCGCAATCTGCCTGGAACCCTTGGAGGTGGGCACAACTGCACGGAAGCTCCACTGCGGGCATCCCTTTCATGCCGACTGCCACCCGGCGTTTCGTGTTTTTTTGTGGTCAATTGTTGTTCTGCCGGTGCGGATGTTGATGAGCCGAAGGACGTCGATATTCGAAGCCCTTTTTCATATCGATTCGGAAGAATCTTGAGGCCTTTTTAGTGTAGAAAGATCTTATCCCTAGGGATCCAAGTACCTTCTCAGAAGGTACTTGGATCCCTAGAGTATAAGTCTCAACTTCTAACTGAAAATAACATGGAAGTGAAACATATGTTTAAATTCTTCCATATGTTTAAATTATTCCTTTTGGGCCCATGCCAGCCACGTCACCATGTGAGTTCCAGGGAGTCTATGAACTTCGATGATGTTCGACCTTTCTCCATCTTTCTCCTCTCCCTTCTTCGTGAAAACACACATAAAGCAAAAGAAAAAGCTCCCAGCTGGGTTCGCTTCTGGTGATGTTTCTCTACCTTCGGATGTCTGAACAAAAGGCCCGTTCGGGGCGATGGCACCATGTTCTGAGCGCCATTTGGTTTCTTCCGGGGCACCCGGTTTCCATGGTGTTTTTGGCCGAGATCGACTCGAACCCGACTCGACTGTTCATGTGGGAGGTTTTGGCAGGGTGTTTTCTTCCGGCCTGCGGGTGCATAACAAGGCATGGAAGACACCCAGTTGTTTTCCAAATGAAGATGAATCCTGCAAGTCTTTTTCAGGGATCTGACTAAGATGAGAAGCACCTGGCTCCAATCTTACTTTGCAACAGATCCTGTGCAAGAACCAGTCATGGGCTCCTGATTGGATTGCTCTACCACGGTGTCTTCTAATCCAAAGAATCTGTACTGTACGGGCTAGACCCATGGTCGGACACCGACACAGACAGCGACACCGATGAGTTTTGGGTGTGAGTCGTCCTCCTTTCCCAAGCCTCTTAAAGCCGCAAGCGGCTTCAGGACGGATTGGCCTTCAAGTCCTCTGGTTCCGTTCTGCCTTCCTCGAAGCCCAAGGTTTGACCTCTTGGTGGTCCAGGTGCATCAAATCTGAGAACGACACGAGGTGCCCCCTGTGCCGCGAATCCTCGCCCTTCCACCCCAATCCTCGCCCATCCCCAGCGGTGGGCGCGCCAGCCAGCGCCTTGGTGGACCTCGGTGGCGAGGAGCTGATCGAAGAGCCGATCGAAGAGCTGCAAACCATTTAGCCCAGCACCGAGCCTCTCGCGTCTCTGGCGCGAGAGGCTCCGCATTGGGATGAGAGCCGCGGGCTCGCAGCGGAGGCTTTGCCTCGGCGCGACGAGCCTTTCGTCGCGACGAGCGGCGGATTCGCCGTTGGTTGGTTTCTCGTGACCAGCGGAAGAACTCCAGATGCGTCCAGGTGTTTTGGTAGTGGTGCATTCAAAAAAAGCAGACCCATGTGACGTAGGAGGAGCATGACCCGTGAGAAAGGGACATCCACGATTGTCATGGCATATAAACTGATTGGGCGGCAGTTTTCTGAACAACATGTGCTGGAAGCCAATGTGGTTTGTGTTGTGTCCGTTCGTTGACCAGAATAGACAAAAGGAAACTCATTAACTGAACATGTGCTTGAATCGTCTTGAATTTGGCCAGCGCATGATGAACACATGATGTGGGTTTCAGAATTGTGTTGGAACGTGAATGGAGTTCGACAGGGCGAGCATGCCCGGCACATGATGATGCGGAGTTCGATGGATGGATGAATCTCATGGAACTTGTACCCATATTTATTGGTTGCGTTTGTCCTTATTACCTGAAAGAGTTGGAACATGTATAATCACTATTTTGGAGAAAGGACTTCACTAACCATAATCCACCCCAAATATTGGTGTTCAAATAATCTAGATGTGGCAATTTCGGTCAGTGTACAAATCTGAAGAGAAGGACCTTTTTGGTATGGCATTTGCTTCACCCCGAACAAAATCCATGTCCCAGACTCCCAGACGTTGATTTACCACGCAGTGTTTTTGGCACCATATTCAGGCCGTGCTTTTGTGTTTCAGACCAGGGGGAAGTCCAGACGCTTGCTCTTCTAGCTCCTGCTTTGAGTGGGGAATTTCGGACAGCCAGCATATTGGACGACGAAATCGTTGAAACATCCCTTCCCCCAATTAATTGTCGCCAGACTGGCCTTTGTAGGTACGACCAGTGACTTAAGTCACACACCAGTGTAGGTATACAGACGAGAACTCACACTTTCAGGGTGTCCAAGCATGAAGAAGGCATTCTCTTCTTCGTTAGATATAACATATATAGAATAATACAACGAAGAAACATAAGGTATACCGGGCCTATATACATATTATATCGGTATATACCTATATTCTGCTTCTTTTTCATTTTACGTGTCCCTATTATGTACAACATGGTAAAACCATAGAGCTGAGCTCGTTCGTTCGCAGATGAGTCGGACCTGCGGGTCGAAGGTTGGCAGATGAAGGAGACGTGACTACTTATTTATAATGTATATATATACACATAGAACCCATTTGACCTACAGGAAAAGACCATGTTTTGGCTCCAACACAGGCGTCACGTATGGGTTCTAGGTGTATATATATACATATCCAAGAGTCATAGCAACACTGACAACATTCACCACAGCCCAACGACTATTCACCACTGGAACCTGGGTCGCAGGTTCCAAGAATCACCCCGAAATCGATCCCTTTTTTCTGATCGAGAAAGACCATACCGAAGAACTTCGCAAGTGTCAAGTGGAGTAGTTCAAACCTGTGTGGCCAAACACGGGAACCCTTCAACATCTTAATATGTGTGTGGTTGGATGATGTTTGATGTACCGTATTGGTAACAGAACTTCAGCAGTGTGTCTGCGTGTCCTTCAGCAGTGTGTCTGCGTGTCCTAAAGTTCGGTCATACTTCCAAATAGACAAACAAGATCATGATGAACGAACTTTAGGACACGCAGATCATGATGAAGGACACGTTCATCTTCCAAATGTCATAAACAAGATCATGATGAATTCACAAAAGATCACCTTCTTTCGCGTTCGAATGTTCGCCTGTCCGTGTCCGTGATGTCTTGGATTCTTCTCCCTTCGAACCCGCCAAGCCACGGCAGAGAGCCACGGCAGAAGTTCCGAGCCACGATGGATATACAGAGGACGACTGCAACCGCTGAAGCTCGGCAAGCTGCCTCCCTGTGTCCCTGTGTTGTTTCCTGATCCAGTCGATTCGATTTGGGCTTTCCATGAATGATCAGGTTTGAGGTCTTCAGTATATATACCAGCGGCCCCTC